TGTTCCCTCTGACATCTACCACGTTTTCCCTTAATGGTTACGTACGTCACTCCATCCGGTGCCACACTTACAGTTCTCCGTCTTTCCATACCGTTCAACATTACTGTTTGCTTATCCCGCGTACGTATTAATTGTTTCAAAAGGTTTTATTGTAGAGGACACTTACCTTTTTCCTTCATAAGGAACAACAGTGGGTAAGGAAGCCAAGGCAAAGCCGGGCTTCCGCGCTAGTCTATCTTATAGTTACGACACCTCACAAACGATTTTCGTGCAGTAAATCTTACAGTTATGACACCTCGCATACTCACCTGTCTTCTTGCGGAGAATAGAGCGCACATGCGTCAATGTACATGTATTTGTTGTTTCTGCCTCCACACACGCATATCACGGTCTCTTCACCAACTGAGACAGCTACTGCTGCATGCTTCTCCAGCCACTCGGCAAGCGGTGCACATTCCGCCCATCGGTGTTCCCTCGTATCAAATTTATCAACGTATGTATAGTTGCCGTCCTGCTCGTATCCGACAATTACAAAGATGCAATCTGTTTTTGGATAATGAGAAATGGAGTAGGAAACGAGGTGGATAGAGGATTAAAAACATAAATAAAAGGCGTTGATCAAGTCAGATAAGTATATTTATATGCGACAGCACGCTATGAAAAACGCGCAACATTTTAACAGATTTCTTTGCCAGGTAATTACCGCAGGGCAAGAAGGTGATAGAGGAATTCCTTAAAAGCCGTCAAGGTTTAAAACCCACTATAGTTTGCCACTGTGGGCCCCTCTAAATTTGACCAGAAATCAGCACAATGCCACGTCTAAAGATTATACAAAGAAGGATATTCGCTCAAGGCAACCTTTTTTAGAAAACAACTACAGTTTTCGGATGCCTAGCGAATTCGAAAATGGACACAATGGACACGATAGACCCAACCGACACGATGAACATGCGCTCCGGAATAAACGATACACGTTTTAATAGTCCCACAGCCAACAAGCTACTATCATGGTTTGGCCGCCATCATTTAAGTTAAATGAAAACAGTGATAAATGTGTCAACATTTCGAGTAATTAAAACTTACTTTTAATGACCACAACTGCCG